GTTAATGCCTCGGTAAGGTAGAATGAAATAAATGCAATAGCCAAAAATAAAAAAAGTGAAGAACAACCTCAGTGTTATTAGGTGTTATTTTTTGTTAATAACTTTTAGAACAGTTAAAAGGCTTTCTTTTCCTTTTTTTTCTTTCTTTTCAATTTTGTCTTTTGAGTATCAAAAGATTTTTTAATTTGCTTAAACAGCTCATTTTTTTTCTTTGTTTGATAAGTTAAGATTTCTTTTGCATACTTTAATTTATACTCTTATTTATTTATTCTTCTAGTATTTATCTGTTTGTTTTGCTTCTGATTTTGATGAATTATCAATTTTGAACAGTTAATGTATTGTCTAAAATATTGGAGCACATACTTTGTTTGCTCCTTTTTTTCTTTTTGCTGTGAATAATTTTAGAGCAAATAATTTGGTGTCGTTGTCGTTGTCTTCTTCAAAACTCAGCTAATTTGGAAAGGGAAGGAGGAAGGGGGAAAAAAAGCGGTATAAAAGAATGTTTCATTAGTTGAAATTTTCTCCTTTGATTTCTTCGACTGTTTTAAAACTGTTCTGTTTTTTGGTAGAGCAAAGAAAAAAAACGTCTTTTTTTGTTATAATACTATTTTATTTTTAATGAGATTTATATGTTATACTATTTATTTGTTTGATACGTATTGCGGTTTTGTGTTTTCTTTTTTTTTTGATGAATTTTGTGATATATTAAGTTGAATATAATCCAAAGAATAGCTGTGTTTTTATAAGTGTGTGTGTGTGTGTGCGTGTTTTTGTATTTCTTTTTTTTTTCTTTTACACATGTTTTCTTTTATATACTTAATTAATTAATTGTTTAATTAGTTAAACTGATTGACTACTGTAGGATGATTTTGTTTCATGTGATCTGTGTTTGTTTGCTGTGTGTAACACTGTACCCATTGGTCTGTGTTTGGTGAAACATTTAATTTTGTTCACCAATCCACAAACTGTTAGTGTTTAGGGTTATCGACGATCTATCATCTATAGGATTTTTTTTAGCTTTGGCTTTAGTTCTCTTCTGATTTATTATCATCATTGTCATTATCAGCATCAGACAATTCCCATTTGTATGTCAGGAAAATTGTCATCTGCCTCCCCTACTTTGGAACCCCCCGCCACTTTTCTATTCCATCCCGTCGATGACTATTTCATGTGTATGTGTGTTTTTTTTTCTTTTTTTTTTGCCCCAACTTTTCAAAATTCTTTTTTTTTT